GACATGAATCCATTTATTCGATAGTAGGGTTATGGGAATTTTTTGATTCCATTCATGAGTTATTTTCTAAAAATATGTAAAAAGCATATAAAAGAAAGAAAATATTGAGGTTTTAAACAAGAAGTTCCTCCCATCAAAGGATGCAATGGATAATACAATATATCATAATTGTTGCCTAACCCCGATGTGATCGTAAGTGCAAGAAGATCTGTTTGTTGTTGCTGTGTATCACTATTTGTAGTGTTTCCATTCGGTATTGGATACAACCAGACTGTATCGGTTTTAATCTGATTTGGTGACAATATATAGTGTTTTTCTTCAAAATAATTATTTGTGTCTTTAGCTAATAATGTCAGTGATACTGATGATTCTGCATAGTTTTTCATTGTATAGGAGATCGATGTATGCTCATAATAATATAAATAAGCTTGTACGCTCGACAAATTAAACGACACATCGATTTGACTTGTCTGATAGAGTTTATCACTCACACGCTGAATATTACCGTTATTACTCACAATTTTGATTCGAAATGATTGTTTCGATGGTGGCACAGTGATTTTTGTTGACCAGTGATCGTGATTTATCTGATGTTGTCGAATATGTTTTGCTATTAACACTGTGTCACCTGTTTCATCCACAAGCATCATTTTTACGTCATTAATTGGAGACTGAGCATAACATTGTGTTTCGATATGTGCTTTATGTCCTTGTATGATATTTCCATGAAGTTCAACATCACCTGAATGAACATTATTTGCATTATGAACACTAACTATTGAATAACATTTCAAATCACTCAAACAAGATAAACGTATTTCAAGATGATTAACAGTGTCGTCGAAATAAACAACATCCCATAGGCCAAATACTGATATATTTTCTAATGTGTATACTTTATAGAACGGTGTATTGACGAGAAGGACGGGTGTGAGAGGCGATTTATTCAATGCTTGTAACTGAAGTAAAAATGGGTTTGTTTTTTTAGCTGTAACAAACTCAATGTACAATTGTTTACATGTTTGATCAATGTTAACAGCCAGTGTTTTGTTTGTACGCTGACGTGTTAAATGATCGAGTGTTTGTACCATACCCGGCGGTTGTTTAGCATATAATTGTTGAATATCATTCAAATAAGCTGTTGTTGCATTAAAACGATGAACATATAAACCGCCTGTCAATCGACTTACATCATAACCATAATCATTTAGTTGTGTAGATGCCATTGTTGAATTACGAAATATATCGATAGTAATGTGTTTCTTAGTGGCAACAGCCACACAATGTGTTTTATAATAAGTGTCAATAGCAGGATAAGAAACAATAACAGCAAGTCTATAAAATTTTTCTGAACTATTTTGTAATCTTTGTAATAGAGTAGTGTACACATAGGAGTCATTTATCTGAAGAATAATATTGTGATCAAGTTTTGTGGATGATATTAATGAATTATTAAGCAATATTGGTAGTATACATGCTTTGATTGAAAGAAAATTTCCGAACGGTTTATCGGTGATGTTATTCCAAAATTGTTTTAATGTATTATATGTGGCTAAATAAGCGGTTTGTGCTGCAGCATAGTGAAGATAACCATGAACAGATGCTGGTGTGTCTTTATTAATTCCACCTATGGCATCGAACGTCTTTGTACCGTCAAGGTCACCACCATGACTGCATTTTCCTTTAGGCTTGCTTGATTGTTTCGGAATTAGAAGAGAAAAGTAACCACTTGTTAATAAGTTAGCATTCAATATGGATGAATCAACGTTATTTTCGCAAGTACTTGTACCCGAAACACAATTTGTACATGTTCGTTGACTTGGAGTAGCAATTCCTGCGATTATTTTTGAAACGCCCAGTTGCGAATGTGGCACTCGATGACCAAGTTCAATCCAGTTTGAATGGCTATAAAAATCTGAAAAAGCAAAATGAACGTGTGAGCATTTGGCAAGCATTAGACATACAAATGTCCATCGACACTACGCTGTAAATTTCTGTTCGAGCGGAGGTGCACAACTGTGAGCTTTCTAGCAAGAGTTTCTATCGAAAAATGAAGAAAACACTGTCGATCAAAACTTAAATTGTGGAAGAGCAATTTTTTTAATTCTCTCTTTCGATAGTGTACCATGTGGGCAGCCAATTAATTAATTTTATTTAGATCATGTGAGGAGGGAGTTCATGAAAGCAAATGCTGACATGAAGTAAAAGACAGCATGGAAGAAAAACAGCAAGAACAGTTCTGAGCTTCGCTCTTCAATCATTCACTAGTACTAATTGCATTAATCATCTTATATACTCTTTCATTCTAGCTTCTTACCGCTTCGTGGCACATTACCCGATGTGACATGCGAGTCGAAGTCGTACATAGATTTATTAACTATTTATCAAGAAAAACTATTTTCAGAAGCTTATTTTTCGAAATATCTTTTGTGATAGACTGCATTTTCTAGATAAAAATAGTCCAACAATCAATTTATGTGTTTCTGCTAGATGATACATTTATTTTATCCTAGTGTAAGACAAATATGTAGCCTGTACGCACTGTATATAATGTCACATGACGATTGATTATCTCGTATAAAAAACGGTTAAGTTACTGGAAAAGCGCTAAACCTTCGAGGCACTCATTTTGAAGTAAATCAAGAAGATTTGATAACACTAATGAGAGATGTGTCGTATCAAGCTCATGGACATGATATTGACATTTGCCCCAAATCTGTACGGTCAGGAATAATTGAGAATAAGTAATTAACTCGAGAAAGAAGAATTTTTCGTGATGAAAGAGCAAGCGAAGTTAATAGTCTTTCTATTAAAAAGAGAGGGACTCTTAAGTCATACTCAATAGCTAAATTGGAATATCTAACTGTAATTAAAACAATACATCCATTCGCATTTTACCTTGTACTGTATGTAACATTCTTCCAAAGAATTCATTGGCATCGTCAAACTCGTTCAATTTTACTGCATTAATAGCCGATGTATAACGATCCAGAATTAACTGAGATGCATTGGTAAATGATTCACTATCAAAATGACTTGGAGCATTTGTCTGTTCCTCTGCATCAACTAATTCATTTTTTGCCGTGATATAGACGATTGTTAACTTGTATTGAATCCAGTCAAGTGATTGTTTTTTAAATGCTTGTTTTAATGAATCACTGATACTTGTTGGACAACTACCATTTGTAATTGTCGGAGTTTGAATATTTGTTTTGTATATTTTATTCAGGTAATCACATGTTATTGTGTATAATGCACATTCTGTTATTAATTGATGAGTTGTACCATTAG